TCCCAGCACCCTCGCACCAGCCCCTCACCGCTGCTGCGGGGTGTCGGGCAGAATCTGGTGAGGACCCGTCCCGGAGGATTTCCTACCGGAGTCCACGCACCCAAGAAACCCGTTGTTGCGGGGCAGCCACAGCAGAACAGCGCGTGGTGCTTCTTGGGGGCAACGGCCAGCATCACAGACCAGGAAGGCAGGGGCCCATGGGCTAGGGGTGCTAGACCGGGTGCGGGAAAACCACCGGAGAAACATTTAAGGGCAGGACCAGCCCCCAGAGATAAGAGCCACCTGACTGAAGCACAAAAAGGATCAGACCTTCTCCAGGCAAGGTCAAAGCTCAGACCTGCCCCACACACTGCACATGCTGGTGTTTCACACCTCCACAGGCCCCTGCTGGGCTCAGAGCAAGACACAAGTGAGGACATAGCTGTGCCCAATACCAGGGCCGATGTGGCCCAAACCAGGCTGGTGTGGTCAAGAGCTGGGTTAGGAGAACAGATGGAGCTGAGTCCCCACCCCATACAGCTGCCTGCAACTCTGCCCCTTCCCTCAGTAGCCTGGGTGCAGCGCTGAGCTGGCTCACGGGGCACAAGCATGCAGAGCTCACTAGGGAGAAAGAAGAGCCCCCCCAGGGTCCCTCGTGGGAGCTCCACAGCATCACCAAGGAAATCACCACAGCATCACCAAGCATCAGGGACTCGGCATAGAGGAGCATCTCCCACTGAGGTGGGCACAGGAGGAACCTGCCAGACAGCAGCAACCCCCGTCCAGACCCAACACCTGAGAGACCTTTATTCAGAGTGTAAAAATAGCTCTTTACAAAGCAGACTGACCCATAACCTCCCCCCAAGTCAGAGAGAGGCTATGATCTCTCACCCCACCATAACGGCAGTGGAGGATGCAGCCTAGGTCCCAGCTTCCAAGTGTATAAAAGTCAATCAAATTGTGAGTAAAGAAAAGCAAACACAATAGAATCAGTGAAACCGCCTGTCCCACTGCTGGATTTACATCCATCTGCTGGGAAAGGGTCCAGGACTGGGTATTTCAGAGCCATGGAGGGGGTGGTGCACAGAGCAGAGATCCAGGACAGCAAAAAGGCACAGGACAAGGATCACCTCCCCCCATCCCTGGCTCCCAGCACAGGGATGGGGAAGAAGGGGCATACCAGCAGCATCCATCCAGTTTTGGGATCAGCCTCCCAGGGCTGTGAGTAAGGAGACACCACAGTGCTGTGAGCAGACTCAGCTCCTCCAAAATTTACAAAAGAAAACAAAAAACCAAACAAATGAAAAAAAAGCAGTGAATGTTGAGGTCCTGGCAAGAGGTGTCCGAGGTAAAAGCCATCCAAGGAGAGGAGTCCCAGCAAGTACCTGAAGGAAGAACCAGACTGAGACTGGCAGCCTCCTGTGGCAGCACAGCTTCCATCCATGCTTGCCACACTGGTGTCTGAGCCACTCAGACTCTTCCTTCGAGGCTTCTGGCCCCTCACCTTGCCTTGGAGATAAGTTACTGCTTCCTCCTCTACTTCTTGGCTGGCATGATAGGAGGAAGCTCCTCCTCCTCCTCAGACAAGTCATCATCCTCCTCAAAGGAAGCATCTTCCCTGTGCACTGCAAAACACGAATAATTCTTGCTACTCACCAACATATGTCTGTAAATACAGCTGGCCCCCAAGACTCCCCAAGTGCAGAGCAGCCCAAGGACCACTGCAGCAGTTCTAACAGCAGTTTTGTGGGCAGTAAGCTGGATCCCAGCTGGAGGGAGGTCTCGGGTGGAAAGGAGGGGGATGGGGAAGGAGGGGAACGGTGACAGGGACAGTGTGGGTTGTCCAGACTCCTTTTGCCATGCAGGGCTTTACGGCAGGGAAGGAATCCCTGTGCAGAGATGGCCCCTGGGGAATCAGCACAAAGGAGGCACCGAGCACACAGGCTGAGCAGCACCAAGTGCATCTCCTGGTGGCTGCTCAGCCAGCACTCTCTGGAGGGAGCCCCTCCATACTCCTTGGTCCTCCCAAGCCTTTCCCCATCCATGAGTTGTTACCGATCTGGTGCCAGCCAGCGAGGTGTACTGGGCCAGAGCCCGCTGCCAGGCGGAAGGTCACTGGAGGCTGCAGCTTGAAGTTGTCCAGACTCAGCTGCCAAGAGACAGAGATGGAGCTGATTTAGAGGCAGAAGCAAAAAGCAGAATGTCCTGCATTCCTCAGCACAGCACCTGGCCCAGTTAAACATATCCTTCTGGGGGCATCTGCAGCCAGGTCAAGGCTACGCAGGGCATTTCCTATGGGCAGCCTATGGTCAGGATCCTAGGAGAAAGGTCTAAAACATCCAGAGATGTCCACTTCCCTGCATCCATTCCCACTTGAGCCTTCAAAACAACCTCTTACCAAGGGCTGACATGACAACTTCAGGTTCGCCACAGGCACAGCGATCTCCTGGTTCTCGTGATTTCGGCCGACAACCTCCACCACATTGCACTCATCCTTGGCACCATCTGTGAGGCAGACCTGGGTGGAAGCAGAGATCATGAACTCTTGCTCTGCTGCGGGACACAGCAGGGCCAGCTGGAGCTCCCCACAGGACAAGCAACCCACAGCAATGCTACCAGCCCAGCTGCCATGCAAGGTGTGAGGATGCTGCTCCATAACACAGGTAGAGCTTGGAGCCCTTCCTGCAGCAATTGCTCCCTTGGTGCCTGCAGAGGAGCTCTGTGTCTTTCCCACTCAAGATAGTTGCTCCTGCAACCACCTCAAGAGATGGCACCTGGGCTGCATTTTCCACTGATCTGATCCATGCTGGCAGGTCCTGTTCTCCAGGACAGGACGTGATTCCCAGGCAAAGACAGGAATGCATTCGCCCGTACTTGGAAAGCAGCAAGCCAGAGATGCAGCTGGAGGCTCCAGCAAGACCAAATACAAGCAAAAAAAACCCCATCGACTTTCTTTCACCCTATGTGTTGAATACTCCTCTGAGGAGCAACTTCCTGCCACCACTGGCTTTGCTCAAGCATCTCTGTACAACAGGAAAATGCAACAGTTTCGTGCCCTGCCCTGAGAGCAGCCAGGGCTGAGACCTCAGCCAAGGGCATCCCCTGGTCCAGCCCAGCCCGAGAAGGTGCAGTGAGGCTGTGGGCCACTATAGGAGAGAACAAGCACAGCTAATTCTCATTTCTCTTACCACAGACAGGGCCAAAATGTGGTCAGAGTCATCTTCCTCATCCACCTGAAACGTGTAGGACTTGGTATTGGCGGTCAGCTCACAGCCTGGAAAGAGAAGATCCGAGAAGCTGCAGCAGCCATCACGCAGCCCCCAGCACCACGGACAAAAGGTTTCCAGGGTGAGCCACATCCAGACACACACACAGCATCCTTAAACCACTTTATTTTCTCATGCTCAGGACAAGTCTCAAGCTAGGGCACCCTAGGCTCCATGATACAACATCCTCAAGAACTACGTACCTGGCTCAGCACCATACAGGGACAAAACCTGCTGTTCTTAAACTGGGCTGCTGTGAAGTGGCACCCAAGGGCACCCAAGGCCTCTGAGCATGGGCAGAACAAGGCTCATCCCCTCCAGAGAGAAGAACAGCCAAGGCACAGGGCTCTGGACAACAGGAGAGGGAAGAGACAGAAAGGCTCTGCTCTCCTCAGTGTCAGTGAAATGCTTGCTCTGGTGCGAATGTGGAGGCAAAGACCGTGAGGCCTGAGTGATGAGGAATGACCTGAAGGGAGGTGGCTGAGCCAGGCTGTAGGGAGCTGGAGTCCCTCCAGACAAGTGTTGAGACAGATTTTATGTCCTTTTCCTCAAATAAAAACAAACAAGATGCGAAATTACGTCCTCAGCTCTCGGGATCAAGATTCAGCTGACCGTGAGGAGGCATGAAAGGCAGAGCGCCCTGGGTGTGTTTGCTTATTGCAGGGTGATTCACCAGTGCGAAGCAATAGGAAAAACCCAGACCTGAGCCCTGCATACCAAACCCTGCCTTTACAATAGAGAGAGAGGAACCAGCCTCGGCAAACACAGCCCAGGGCAGGACCTCTTTCCTTATGTATTTGGCTCACCAGGGCAAGGACCAAAAATCCAGGTGCATAAAAGCCCTGGGGGGTCTCCTGCTCCGCATCCCTTCTCGACCC